AGGGTAACAATGACAGCAACTTCACGGGATGTGTGTGCATATGTAAAATGACATAAGGGTCCTAAGTGTTTACTCTGCAACAATCACACAATGAAAGTTATATTTCCCAAATGCTATCAACACCACAAAATCCAAGACTCTCACACCTGCTCGGAGACCCTGCCCTTTCTGAGGACATTCAATGACATAGCCTCTTATATACTAGAAGGTCATGCAAATAGGGTCCTTCCTCTGCTGATATAAAGCAGCCCCAGCTCTGACCCGGCAGCTCTGGGAGAGGAGCTCCAGCCCGGATTTTCCACGTGTTCCCATTCGGGGTTCAGGACAGAACACTCACCATGGACTTTGGGCTGAGCTGGCTTGTCCTTGTGGCTATTTTACAAGGTAATGCATGGAGAGCAAGAGACACTGATGATGTGAGTGGATATGAGTGAGGGAATCAGTGGATGTGTGACAGTCTCCTAACCAGGATGTCTCTGTATTTGCAGGTGTCCAGTGTGAGGTGCAGCTGGTGGAGTCTGGGGGAGGCTTGGTGAAGCCAGGGGGGTCTCTGCGACTCTCTTGTGCAGCGTCTGGATTCACCTTCAGTAGCTATGCCATGAGCTGGGTCCGCCAGGCTCCAGGGAAGGGGCTGGAGTGGATCTCAGCTATTAGTGGTAATGGTGGTTACACAAACTATGCAGACTCTGTGAAGGGCCGATTCACCATCTCCAGAGACAACTCCAAGAACACGCTGTACCTGCAAATGAACAGCCTGAGATCTGAGGACACGGCCGTGTATTACTGTGCGAAAGAGACACAGTGAGTGGAAGTCAGTGTGAGCCCAGACACAAACCTCCTTGCAGGAAGACAGGAGGAGGGATGCAGGGTGCACTCAGGACATACAACTGTGTGTTTCAGCCCCAGGAGCAGCTGCAGATGGTAGTGAAGGCCTGGTTTCCTCTAAGGGTCTGTGGTTTCCTCTCCATATAGCAGTTTTCCCTGGGGAACATCTCTGTACTCATCCATGGTTCTTTACTTACACATTCAGTCTCTCAAATACAAAGACTTTTTGAAATAGGGGAAAAAATGTCATATATGAAAGGCAGAGACTCAAAGTTAGATATTCAGCTTTTCCCTTGTGTAAATCTTGTCTAAACTGACCCATTTCAAAACTCTCCCAGCGGATGTATAAACAGTTAAACATATACTTCCTTCCTCATTATGATATCTCAGCCCTGCCCTACTGAAGACCAGCTGTCCCTGCCAGGATGCTGGCTGTTCACTTGCCTGCTAATCTCTTGCACGAGAAGCATAAATGCGCTGAGCCGCCCCGGATCCTCAGTGGGTCTCTGGGAAAGATGCCAGTGAGAGGGGACGTGGGTGGGGGTGTTTCTACATGTGCTCCTTGCTTCCAGGCCCAGTAGAATCCCTATATGCTTAAATAAGTCCTGCATCCTTTTCTACTGTGCAGTTTATTTTATGTCAAATATTCATTGTCAAAGCTATTACCAATAGACAAATATGTAGTTGGCAGGGAAACTTTATAGTCAGGTGGATAATAACATGAATTTTCTGAAGCTGCTGAAAACAAATCTATTCTCCTTTCTTCACCACAGCGTCTTAGGTGAGCACTAAAATGCAGGAAAATCACTCAGGTTCTCACTCCACGAAGAGTCCTGCAGACCTACAGGCAGGCCCATCTCTGTCCAGGAAGCCTTTGCAGGGGTGGCCAGGTCTAGGGTGGAGAAGCCGAGGCCTGGATACGAGCTCTCACTGTGTGCTGATGGGTGCTCTCCAGCGCATCACGTGCCAATTCCAGGCTGCACTTTAGCTTCACATCTGTAGGATTCAAGTAAACCGTTACCTACATCACATGCTTGGTGTGCATATGTAGAAAGAAAATAATAAAGGAGGCCCTGAGTGTTGGCGCCCAGGGTAGGCCACCCGAAAATATGCCTCAAAGTGACGGAAGACAGAGCCAGTGACCTTCCTCCCTGTCACCCTGAAGCAAGAAATAATCCTCCCATGTGAAAGGTGCTCTCCCTGTACCTGGAGGTGGAAGTGAAATGGTCCTTTACCCCAGACCTCCTGCCTGCGTTTTTTCTGTGCAAAAAATTTAGGCTAAGTGGAAGTTAATCAGAGAAGCGAGCAAATCTAGAAAGAAACGAAAAGTGTCCAACAAAACAAAATAATAATAGTTTAGTCATTAAGCAAATCAAGGACCTTTAGTTCCTCCTCACGGGCTATAGATAATACTCTTGTCCGTGGCCCGTGAGCCGTCTTATAGATACAGAAACTCCCACCAGGAGGAAGACGTTAACTGCATGACGACCAGACTGTAGCCATGACATAAGCTGCTGCAATTCCAAGAACTGGCCTCAAAGAAATGGGAACAAACCGACCCTGGAACTGAAGATTAACTCTACTTGAAACAATCAAGATGAGGCTGATCAGACCACCACATGGCCAATTGCAAGATGACTGTCACAGTTGACTCTGCCGTTTCTGCCCGTAGCCCCTCCTTCCACCAGTAAAAGCGCTTTCCCACAGATTCTCAGTGCGGGGTGTCCTTTGGAGAGAGGTCTGTCCCCCACCCCCGGGTGCAGGCAGCCAAAATAAAGCAAACTTTCCTTTCTACCAACTTTGCCTCTTTATTGGCTTTTCAGCACCGAGCAACCGGACCCTGCTTTCCATTGCAGAGGGACACTCTTATCACCAGGGATGGGGAATTCAGGCCTGGAAGCTTCTATGAACAAACCTTGCTTATCTGCTAATTTATGGAAGAACGTTTTTGTGGCTTCCATTTATTCTCAGTTGTAAATGAAGAGACCACAATAATTCACAGGCAGTCGATGATGGATATATAAGTTTCAAGTCAGTTATGGAAATATTACGAGCATGACGTCTGGGGTCTTACCTTAAGCTCTGTCTAGGTGCGTAAGTGACTGCGCGGAGGAAGGGCTCTGATGCAGAGACCACTCAGCTGTCCCAGGCATCGTGCTGAAAGGAAGTCAGAGCCCAAGCAATGTCGGCACGAGGTGGACCCAAGGCCCAGCCCTCACACCTGGCTGAGCCCCCAGCCTACAGTCAGGGTCACCCTCACTTACACGTGAGTGTGCATCACAGGAGCAGGTCCTGTAGCTGAACTTGAGCCTCTCACAGCGACCCTGCATGGGGCAGTGTGGGCTTCCCTTCCAGGTCCTCCCTAAGCAGAGATGGTGAACAAAGTAAAGAGCTGCTGTCAGTGGAAACTGTCGAAGTGTTGTGGCAGGGTTTTGTGCGACAGTCAGCACCTGGAACACTATTACTCATTTCCGAGGGTGATCCTATTTCACCATTTCATATGTGGTAAATATATGGCACAGTGGGAGTGGATGAGGGGACAAAGGTCACACTGTGAACGGAGATGCTATGAAACAGTGCAGATCCAAGTCCAGGGCCAAGGCCCTCCTCCCCAGGATGCAGGAGGACCTAACAGCTGAGGCAGGATCCTGGGCTGTCCCAGGTAGGAAGACACACCTGTGTGGATAGAGAGGTAACACCACCTGACTCACACTTTAGCAGGACCACGCTGACACTGCCGAGGTAGCTAGGAGACGTTGGGACACGATTACACCCCAACCACACTCCACCTCAAGGCATCCATTTCTAGTTTAACCTTGTAGTAGATTTTATTCCATTCAACAGCCTATGTCAGGACTAACAATCTTATTCTTTGTTATTCTGTGAGCATTTCTCTCTCTCCAAAATTTAAATTTGTTGCTCTCTTAGTTCTCTAATTATCTGATAGAATGGTGAGATTTTGATAGTGTGCAACTTGTCACATTCTGAGGATGTTTTAAGAACAGTAAATAAGAAGCATTTTCTCAGCTTCTCATCTCTCTGCATCTCCAAGACTGTCAGCTTTATTGTAACACCCAGAAACTGGAGACAGTTCCAATATCACACATCAGCTTAATAAATAAGCCAATCATGCTATGATCATTCTTTAAATGCAACCTGCTATTAAAACCAGGATTCTTGATACACACAAAAATATGATAGTATTCACAACTATTTGTGCTGAGTAAAATAAGCCATAACAATAAGAATACATAAAATATGTTCCCACTTTTATAAATTCTAGAAAATGAACAATAACCTGCAGTAACAAGGAATATCAACGGTGTTGTGGGGACAGGATGGAAGATAAGAAGGGACAGGAAGGAGGAAACCCAGAAACTACTGAAAATAATGAGAGGAAGTGATTTGTTCTCTCCTGATAATGCTGATGCCTCCGTCAGCATTTATCAGAGTGTTCATTCTGAGTGTCTGCGCTTTATTGTATGTCAAGAACCTCGTTAAAGTAATTACAAATAAAGAAATGCATGACTTGGGAGGGAAGGAGTGAAGGGAAGATACTGAAACATAAGAGACTCCTGAAAATACTTCTCATCAACCCTGACCCCCTCCATATATTTCAGGTAAACACGAGAAGAGAGCAAAGTCATCATGACCTCATTACAGGAGGGGGATCTGCAAACCTCACCCGGCAACTCCAACTCTGTCCTGCAGTAGGTTCCAGGGAGCAGCCTGGCGCAGAGCTCAGGTGCAGATGCTGGATCTCACGGTCACCCCGTGTTTCCCCTTGGACATTACAGACACCCTGCATCCCTCTGGGTGCAGTTTACACCTCTAATATGAGGGTAACAATGACACCTACATCACGGGATGTGTGTGCATATGTTAAATGACATATGGGTCCTAAGTGTTTACTCTGGAACAATCACACAAAGAAAGCTATATTTCCCAGATGCTATCAACACCACAAAATCCAAGACTCACACCTGCTCGGAGACCCTGCCCTTTCTGAGGACATTCAATGACATAGTCTTTTATATACTAGAAGGTCATGCGAATAGGGTCCTTCCTCTGCTGATATAAAGCAGCCCCAGCCCTGACCCAGCAGCTCTGGGAGAGAAGCTGCAGCCCGGGATTACCACGTGTTCCCATTCGGGGTTCAGGACAGAACACTCACCATGGACTTTGGGCTGAGCTGGCTTGTCCTTGTGGCTATTTTACAAGGTTATTTATGGAGAGCAAGAGACACTGATGATGTGAGTGGATATGAGTGAGGGAATCAGTGGATGTGTGACAGTCTCCTGACCAGGATGTCTCTTGTTTGCAGGTGTCCAGTGTGAGGTGTAGCTGGTGGAGTCTGGGGGAGGCTTGGTGAAGCCAGGGGGGTCTCTGCGACTCTCTTGTGCAGCGTCTGGATTCACCTTCAGTAGCTATGGCATGAGCTGGGTCCACCAGGCTCCAGGGAAGGGGCTGGAGTGGATCTCAGCTATTAGTGGTAATGGTGGTTACACATACTATGCAGACTCTGTGAAGGGCCGATTCACCATCTCCAGAGACAACTCCAAGAACACGCTGTATCTGCAAATGAACAGCCTGAGATCTGAGGACACGGCCGTGTATTACTGTGCGAAAGATACACAGTGAGGGGAAGTCAGTGTGAGCCCAGACACAAACCTCCTTGCAGGGAGACAGGAGGAGGGATGCAGGGGGCACTCAGGACATACAAGTGTGTGTTTCAGCCCCAGCAGCAGGTGCAGATGGTAGTTAAGGGCTGCTTTCCTCTAAGGGTCTGTGGTTTCCTCTCCATATAGCAGTTTTCCCTGGGGAACATCTCTGTACTCATCCATGGTTCTTTACTTACACATTCAGTCTCTCAATTACAAAGACTTTTTGAAATAGGGGAAAAAATGTCATATATGAAAGGCAGAGACTCAAAGTTAGATATTCAGGTTTTCCCTTGTGTAAATCTTGTCTAAACTGACCCGTTTCAAAACTCTCCCAGCAGATGTATAAACAGTTAAACATATACTTCCTTCCTCATTATGATATCTCAGCCCTGCCCTACTGTAGACCAGCTGTGCCTGCCAGGATGCTGGCTGTTCACTTGCATGCTAACCTCTTGCATGAGAAGCATAAATGCGCTGAGCAGCCCCGGATCCTCAGTGGGTCTCTGAGAAAGATGCCAGTGAGAGGGGACGTGGGTGGGGGTGTTTCTACATGTGCTCCTTGCTTCCAGGCCCAGTAGAATCCCTATACGCTTAGATAAGACCTGCATCCTTTTCTACTGTGCAGTTTATTTTATGTCAAATATTCATTGTCAAAGCTATTACCAATAGACAAATATGTAGTTGGCAGGGAAACTTTATAGTCCGGTGGATAATAACATGAATTTTCAGAAGCTGCTAAAAACAAATCTATTCTCCTTTCTTCACCACAGCATCTTAGGTGAGCACTAAAATGCAGGAAAATCACTCAGGTTCTCACTCCACGAAGAGTCCTGCAGACCTACAGGCAGGCCCATCTCTGTCCAGGAAGCCTTTGCAGGGGTGGCCAGGTCTAGGGTGGAGAAGCCGAGGCCTGGATACGAGCTCTCACTGTGTGCTGATGGGTGCTCTCCAGCGCATCACGTGCCAATTCCAGGCTGCACTTTAGCTTCACATCTGTAGGATTCAAGTAAACCGTTACCTACATCACATGCTTGGTGTGCATATGTAGAAAGAAAATAATAAAGGAGGCCCTGAGTGTTGGCGCCCAGGGTAGGCCACCCGAAAATATGCCTCAAAGTGATGGAAGACAGAGCCAGTGACCTTCCTCCCTGTCACCCTGAAGCAAGAAATAATCCTCCCATGTAAAAGGTGCTCTCCCTGTACCTGGAGGTGGAAGTGAAATGGTCCTTTACCCCATGCCCTATGCCTGCCTTTTCTCTGTGCCAAAATTTTACCCCAATAGTAAGTTTAATCAGAGAACTGAGAAAACCTAGAAAGGAACGACAAGTGTCCAACAAAACTAGACAATAATAGTTTAGTCACTAAGCAAGTCAAGGACCTTTAGTTCCTCCTCAAGGGCTATAGATAATATTCTTGTCCGTGGCCCGTGAGCCGTCTTATAGATACAGAAACTCCCACCAGGAGGAAGACGTTAACTGCATGATGACCAGACTGTAGCCATGACATAAGCTGCTGCAATTCCAAGAATTGGCCTCAAAGAAATGGGAACAAACCGACCCTGGAACTGAAGATTAACTCTACTTAAAACAATCAAGATGAGGCTGATCAGACCACCACATGGCCAATTGCAAGACGACTGTCACAGTTGACTCTGCCGTTTCTGCCTGTAGCCCCTCCTTCCGCCAGTAAAAGCGCTTTCCCACAGATTCTCAGTGCAGGGTGACCTTTGGGGAGAAGTCTGTCCCCCACCCACGGGTGCAGGCAGCCAAAATAAAGCAAACTTTCCTTTCTACCAACTTTGCCTCTTTATTGGCTTTTCAGCACCAATCAGCCGGACCCTGCTTTCCATTGCAGAGGGACACTCTTATCACCAGGGATGGGGAATTCAGGCCCGGAAGCTTCTATGAACAAACTTTGTTCCTTCTTTAATGACTATGCCAGCCCCAAACTCCGCTTAGGTTCTTCACTAATTGAGCACCAAGAGCACACATTTCCTCCTTCTACCAATTCCACACAAATATTCCATCTTTGTCTAAAAATATAAAAGCTGCCTGCTTTGGTCATTTCTGGGTCCATTTGTATGGCACATCCATGCCTATGGTTAAAATGGTTTCCCTTTCTCCTGTTAATCTGTCTTTGTTAGTTTTATTATCAGTCCAGCCTCAGGAACTCAAGAGGGGCAGAGGACGAGATTTCCCTCCTGACAAACCCAAGTAGTCTTCTGTTCAGCCTCACGTTGTACAACCTCTTAGGAACCTCAGTCCTCACGGCCACTGTCACTCTGCTGTCATCACCTTGCCAGGTGTGTTCTTCTGGAATCTCTTTTCTGCATTTGCATCTCACCATTCGATATTTCTTCCTAATCGGTGTGACATTTTAGTGTCCATTGTCTGGATGTACACAGTTTATTAGTCATTCCCGATAGAAGGACATCTTGGTTTTTTCCAAATTTTGGCAAATATGAATAAACTAAGTAAGTATCATGTGCAGGGTTTTCTCTGGACTAAAGTCTTCTTGTCTTTCAGATACATACAAAGGAGCACTACTGCTAAAACATAGATACGGGTATGCTTAGTTTTGCAGGAAGCCCCCAAAATGTGTCCCAAGGTGCATCCCGTTCTGCATCCCCACCACCTGTGAATGGACCTCCTGCTGCTGCACATCCTGCAGGTGTTTAAGGTTCTCAGAATCCTGATCTCAGCCACTCTTGTAAGTTTTCAGGGATATGTCCTTGTTCTGGTTGGCACTTCCCTGTGACATATGTTCTCCCACAGCCTTATTTGCAAACTCTTTGTCTATTTGGTCAGGTGTCTGTTAAGGATGTTAGCCCATTTTTTAATCCTTCTGTTTCTTTCTTATGGTTGAGTTTAAGGCTTCTTGGTACATATTAGATAACAATCAGATATAGTAGATATGTCTTCTGCAAATATTTTCTTCCAATCTCTAGCTTGCCTCTGGGTAAATTTCAAATGTATTTTTTATACTTCTCAATTATTTGTTTCTATTACAATGAAAAGTGAAGTTAAACTTTCACTTCCTAAGCCATGGGAACTTCATGTGGGAACATGACACGGTACACACAACGCCTCTTTCAGATACTACAAGGATGGAATGGGTAAACAGAGGGCGGACTTCGTCAGAGATGCTCCTCTGAAAAAGTAGAAATGTACCAACGTGCCCTCCTTCCTGTGTTGCTGGTGACAACGGTGCTGCGTGTCCACAGAGACACAGATCCTTGATGAGAGAGTGAGATTCCATCAGTTACAATGACCATTTCCTAACGATAAATTTTACCCGTGATGGATCTGAGTTTATGAATGATTGTAACTTGAATGATTCAATGGATTTAGCAATGGTTGAAAACAAAATCAATACCCTGAATTATTATTACTCATTTTAATTTATGTGGCCCCAGAGAAGTGTTTGACAATTACAATTTCAGTAACACATTTCCATTACTTTGACTTATACCTCTTAAATTTTAGAAAACTTGTTGTTTCATAACAAATGTCTCATTACATCCCTCACATTTGAAACTGGATTCCAAGTGGACCTAGAAGATGAAATGGGAGGACAGCGAATGTCTCTACAGTCAGTAACATCTAAGGCAACAAATCTAACATCACACGAGGACGCTGCTGATTTCCAAGAATAGCTCCTGCTCCTTCTTTGCTCAATGATTCCAATAAACAAACTAAATGAACTAAACCGTCTGGTCTCAATGTTCCTGAAGCTCACACCTCATTCTGAGCTTATACCCTCAAGATTTTATAAGGGAAAACACAGAGACCATAAGAAGGACCTGTCCACATGGCCCCCATGAACCCACCACCATCAGCCCTCCTCCCTCCCATCACGATGGTCAGGCCCTCTTGCTGTGACCATCACTGGTAACCTGCAGAGCGAGATGACTTAAGTCTCCCCACTTCATTTCCCATCACCCACTGGGCGTCTCTAATGCATATTCCCTCAAGCATTATCATATGAGCCAGTCTCCAGACATAATTCCCTCCAATTTTTCCACAAAGGAAAAATAACTTTTTTTAGTTCTGCTGACCGAACACATTTTTCCTAGGGTTAAATAGGCCCTAACAACACACCGCCACCCACTGAAACATAAAGACACCTGTTACATATCCTTCTATGTTAACACGAATTTGGCTGGATCTCCTCTAACCCACCAGCTCAGAAGGGCAGGTCACATGCTGGGGCATCTGCACAAATGCAGGCCCTTCTTCCACCTGGGGAATAAAGGGCCCACCTGGTTCCAGGTTTTAGATGCCATCCCTTCCGCTCCCCTATCCCACAGCGCATCAGCTCCATTTTCAGGTCGTGACGACAGGGTCCAGACTTGTCCTGTGATTCTTGCCCATATCACTGTGGTTGGCTCTCCTATTATCGACATTCAAGCAGGCAGATGCTTTAGTATTTAATTTCCTCTGCAAATATTATTGGAAAAGCTAGAAGTATAGTACTCTGTTCATGAAAGAGTATGGAGTAAATATCTTCTCACAGACAGCGGGCTCGACATCAGTCAGTGTACAGGTGAAATCACTGGGCTGAGGGAGAGCTGACCTGCCCCAGACACACAGGTGTGACCTCTCAGGGCAGGAGTGGAGCCAGCGCTACATGACAGGGTGTCAGTCAGACATGGGGCCTCACATTGGTCTTTCTGGTTCCCAGGAAAAGTAACATCACTGATGACACTCAAGTCAGCATTCAACAACCTTGGCCAACCCACTATAAATTTCACACATACCATTACCATCGTGATCCCCAATTTACACCTTGCAGACTGAAATGCAGATGGTGAAGGCACATCCTCACTTCCCACAGCAAGAGGCGATGGAGCTGTGTTCTGCTCTCCAGCACCATTTACTTAAATGACCTCAGGCACAGTCCCAGGACTCACTGACCCAGGGACTCAGGAGAGCATCTCTCCGGTGGTCTTTTCTATGGAAATTGCTTCCTGAGGTGAGGACTTTCCTCTGACCATGACACCCTCATACTCTGCAAGCCATTCACTGTGAAGGTTTACTTCCAAGAATCATGCATGTTCTCTCACCCAGTGCAGTGGGAACTGTGTTCCCTGAGCTCCAATTTCACTGGCTGTGACAGAATTAGAAATGAACACTTCTAGAGGGAGTGAGTCTGTGCACTGTGACCAGGTCACCTGCCCAGCATGTTGGAGTCCTGAGGAACTTCTAGGAGATGTCTGTTCTTAGACCATGATAGCCCTGGGGATTCCTCAACGTCCACCCGCAAGAAAGGAGCCCTGAAACTCGCGATGTTCCTGCAGACACTCAGTTGTGCACAGGACACAGGCAGGTCAGGCTACTGGCCATGTCAGCAGGGCTGGGATCCATGACCATCTCAGCAAGAATGACTACCTTGTCCACAAAATACATGGTGTGTTTAGTTGTTAAGAATAAATCCACCTCCAGAGCCACTCTTGATAAAATTTAAACTGTTTCACGTGAAGAAATATTCACCCAAGTTAAGGGAAACATGAAGTCTGTTGTGTATTATGATAAACATTAAATTTTACCTAACTTTGTCTGAATTCAATGTGATTATTACATGTATGGTTTCTCTCAAATACTTGCTCATCCAGCTAATAAACAGGAGGTAATGCAGAAAAGAAAGAAAAGGAGTCTATGTCTGACATCCTGGAGGACCCTGAATGTGTGATGGGTATTTATATGAAATATATACATCCATGGGATTAAAGTCTATTCCCCAAATCTGTCATTAATCCTTGAGCACAGCTGATTTCCTTACTAGCCCTTCAGCATCATTTCATTCCTGAACACAGAGTCCCCCAGGCAAAGGGAGGGGACCCCTGGTGGGGGCTGAGTTCTCTGAGGGCACAGTCAGCACACTCCTCAGGGGGAGCCCCAGAGACTGGGACCTCCCTTCACTACTTTCTGCTTTTTATAAAAAAGTCCCTCCCTTATGCAAATATCCCCTTAGACCACAAGGTGAAAGCAAAGTACCTGTTCACTTAAATTCGGGTTTCTCCTCAGGCTTGAAGAGAACTTCTGGGCTTCCTGAATCGCATCTGCAGGAAGATGAATCCACTGTGGTTCTTCGTCTTCCTGGTGTCAGCTCCCAGAGGTGAGTGTCTCAGGGATTCAGACGTGAGCACATGGGGAAGCTGCATCTGAGCCCATGAGTCACCGTGGTTCTCTCTGTCCACAGGTGTCCTGTCCCAGGTGCAGCTGCAGGAGTCGGGACCCAGCCTGGTGAAGCCCTCCCAGACCCTCTCCCTCACCTGCACTGTCTCTGGATTCTCATTAAGCAGCTATGCTGTAGGCTGGGTCCGCCAGGCTCCAGGAAAGGGGCTGGAGTCGGTTGGTGAGATGGGTTATAGTGGAAGCACATATTATAACCCAACTCTTAAGTCCCGGCTCAGCATCACCAGGGACACCTCCAAGAGCCAAGTCTACTTATCGCTGAGCAGCCTGACAACTGAGGACACAGCCGTGTATTACTGTGCCAGAGACACAGTGAGGGGAAGTCAGTGTGAGCCCAGGCACAAACCTCCCTGAGCGGAGGTCCGTAACCACCAGGGGGCGCTCAGGACCCAACAAGTACAGGGCTAAGGCCTGCAGCAGGTGCATATAGGTGCTTGGAGGGAATTCTTGTTAGAACTTGTGCTTTCCTCTTCCTGCCCTGGATCTCCACCAGAGACCCTGCTATGTATTCTAATGTTTCATTGTTGCGGATTATGAAGTGTCTAGAAAATTTTGTGTGCATGTACATATTTGCTTAATTTTCATTTTTATTATGGTTGTGTATATATATATTCATATGCACAGACACATATAATACTCAAGAATTAAGGTTGTTTTCCATTTCTTTATTTACCTTTTTCTCAAAGGAGCTCAGAACAACCCTGCGGCTCACCATAATGTTCAATTTGAGCCTGAAGTCCGTGAAACTGGAAAATATCCTGAGAGTGCACATGGTATTTTTTAAACAGTATTAATTGTTGTTTTGCTTTTGTAGATGTGGAAGGAAGAGACACACCGTCCTGCTTTCAGGCAACCTGCACAAGCATTCTGAATTCTGCAGCAGGCATTGTTATAGACTCTAAGGCCGAGCGCTCCAATACTGCACATGCAATTAACCTCGTTATTCACAGATTCTATATCTGCAAATTCACCTACTTCTAGCTTTTATGAGCACCCAAAAATAAATACTGTCATTTTCTGGTCATTCACGGACATTTACAAGGCAGCTGCTTGTTTGAATCATGCAACACACATGCGCGCGCACACACACACACACACACACACACACACACACACACACACACTCCCAGCTGAGGTCAGTCAAGGTGATGCTCTCTTTTCTTGTTTCAATTTCCGTCCTGTAATTGAGCACTTTCCAGGGTCAGATTAGTGCCATGCTTTTCACATCTCTTTGAATCTTGGAAATTGTTTAAAGTAGTGACAGACATAGGGCTGAGAAACATTCTAGTGTCCCTACGCACAAATGGCTGTGAGTGGGCTTAGGGAAAATGTACATGAGAGATCAGCTTCATTCAGGCATGAGTTTTATGGCCGTGGGTGGTGAAATGATACTCATGTTTTCAATATAAAGTTCATCCAAAGCACGAAGACAAAACTCGCTGCTGCATATGGGATGCAGCCTTGGAACCTTGGCTTAATTCCAAATACAGCCTGGCAAGATGGGGCTTATGGCCAAGAATAGGGTGGGGTGGAGTGGACTGGAAATTGTTAAGAGAAGAAATACAAGCTAAGGGGATTCTGGTTACATAGACTCAAAAGGACTCTTGCTAAAGGGAGACCAGGGTGATCAGAAACTGTGTGGGTGATAGGAGGTTTGATGGATTTGATCAAATACTGTGGGTGATCAGAGTTCAAGGGTAGGGGATTCTCATTATTCTCACTTAGCAGGGCTCTTGACAAAACCTGGCCATGCAAATATAAACACAGAAGCCCACAGGTCAAGACGAGTTGAGAAGAGAATTACAAGGAGCCTGTTGGCTAAGGGTTGGTCAGAGGACTTTGTCACACTTCAGAGGAGGAATAATGAACAGACAAGTAAACCAGGGATGCACACACACACACAGAGAAAAGACCACCTGAGGACTCAGTGAGAAGAGGTCCACCTGCAAGCAAAGGAGAAAGGCCTGAGAAGGACCCAAACCTGCTGACACCGTGACCTTAGACTTCTTGCCTCCAGGCCTCAGAGGAAACCATTGCTGTTCTTTAATCCAGCCTGTCTGTTATTCTGTAATGGCCACACTAGCCAACTAGTACACCTATAACATAGACGCAGGTAGACATATATGGAAATGTAAGTATCGTACTGGAAAAGAAACATCACCCATTCTTCAGAGGTGACATGAAGCTGTGTCCACCCTGCATCTCAGCCAGCACCCTCCTCCACAGCCCTAGAGAAGGACCAGCCGTGACCATCTTGATATGGAAACATGCTTCCCACCTGCACATCACACCCAGGCTCAAGGGGAAAACACAGCACCTGTGCTACTCAGAGTCAGGGTTCTCATCATCACTGACATAACTCTCTGAAAGTCAAAGCATTAATCAAAATGAATATGACAATCTTCTGGTCATCCGTCCTCTTGCTGCCATCCCTCAGCTGTGAGCATCTCCGGGGTCTGAGGAAGGTGGAGTTATGGGGTGACGTCTGTGAAGTGGGTGTCTCCTTATTTCTCCTTCCCCAGGTGTCCTGTCCCAGGTATTGCTGCAGGAATCGGACCCAGGACTATTGAAGGCTGTCTCCTTAACCCGCTCACTCTCTGGATTCCCCATTACAAACAGTGCTGACTGCTGGGACTGGATCCCGCAGCCCCCAGGGAAAGGGCTGGGGTGACTGGGGTGCTTTGGTTCTGGAAATAGCAAAGCACACAAGCTGTCTCTCCCGAAATGACTCTCCACCTCCAGAGACAGCTCACAAATTCAGTTTTTCCTGCAGCTCAGCTCCGTGATGACCTAGGACACAGCCCTGTGTTACTGTCCGAGGAGGTTCAGTTAAAAGTCCCGGTGAGTCCAGACACGACCCTCCCTGCAGGGGCTGCTCCAACCACCAGAGGGCGCTCAGGAAACAAGAGGACCCATTTCAGGGCAGGTGCAGAGGATGTCATGGAGGGATTTTCTCTTTAAGCTGTGGTTTCCCCACTGGATCATTGCCTCCCCTGGAAGCCTCATCCACAATGATTCCAGGGAAATTTCTTGTCTCTAAACTTGAGACATTTTCATGGAGTCAGGCTTGTCTGTCTTTCCCCATCTATCTTTGGAAGAGCCGCACAGAAATATTTCCCCATGAGACCTTTATTTGAAGATTAGGTCACTACTTTCTGTTAATAGTTGTCAACTTTTTAATCGTTTAATGACATAAATAATTTTTACTGTTGAACTTTAAATCTGCTTTCCACCATCAGATGGATTTCCTATTCCTCTCGTCCTGACAATCTCTCCAGTCCTGTCTCATGCAATGCCTTTCACTTGAAAAGTATGAGAACTTTTGATATTCAGAAATTGATGTCCATATAGCACTGCAGTCATTCTCTCCTCAGAGGACATTTTGAAATGTCGGGACACAGGTTGGGCTGTAACATGTGGGCTTTGTTGCCTGCACCTTGTTATCTAGTGTGGAGATTGATAATAGATATTTAGATAAAATAGAGAGATAAATAAAAGAGAACAGAAACAGGTATATCATCATCGTATGGAAAATAACCATAAAAACTGACTACATAACCCATTTTTAGGAAATAGTAAAGGCTCGAAGGAGTAAAGATGATACAAGCACCCATATGAAGTTATTTGAATAAACATAAATACTCAAACAAAGTTTGTAAATACTTTTCTAGCTCACTCCTCAATCCCATGGTGAGTGTCTGGTTTTCTCTCTAAGAAATCGACAAATATCTTCCAATTGGCGGCCATTGGCTTTCCTTCCAGCAAGCGGATGAGGGGCCTTTTGCTCTACACGATCCCCTATATTTGAATTTCTTAGTATTTTCTGCTTTAACTTTTGTAATAAGTGAGTAGCAATATCTCATCATCGTGTTCTTTTATGTTTGCTTAATGAAGAATCTTGTGAAAACCTTTTATCTCTTCTTTGTGGAAGCATCTTCAGATCACGGGCAAAGTTTCATTATTTTCATTTTTTGTTGCTGTTGTTGAGCTGTGAATGTGCTGTATATTCATGATACAAATCCTTTATAAATATGACACTAGAAAGCACATTCTCCAAGTCTGTGCCTAATTCCCTTATCAGTGAAGTTATTGTTACTGTTGCTGTTGCTGTTTTCAGGACAGAATTTTTAATGGATACAGAAAAATTACAAATTTATTTTATGAATGATGTTTGGGATATTATACCTAAAGATTCATCATGAAACTCAAGGACACCCATAATTCCTGCGACGTCCCTACGCCAGGCCACTTTCAGGGATGGAGGGTTAAGTCCACCTTCTTGAAGGGAGGATGACCATGATGAGGTTCCTGAAGTGATTCCTTAAGGGAGATTTCTCCTACCTTGCCCATTAGATATATTTATTCAATCTCTTTATATAAGTATGAATCAAGGTATTTGTTTCATACTTTCTGTGAAGGTTATATTCTAAGGCATTTTCTTTGCTTCTGTAATTGTTACCACTTGTCAGCCATGGGGAGCTCTTTCAGATTGTCTCCTGTATCCTCTTTACGGGCCCCCATCCATTTGTGTGAACACTTCCTTACTTTCTGGTGCTACAAGAATCTTCAGAATAATCATGTGTATGCTTTCTCTGGCCCTACAATTATCCAAGCCTCAGTTGAGTTGTGGATCCTTTTCTGGAGAATAGTAATAGGAATCAGAAGATTGGGTATTAGGATACTAATGCTGGTGTCCTGTCTACTGGGAGCATTAGCTCTAGACCCTATGCGCTAAAAAACCTTGGAAATATATCTGTGTACACTACCCCATGAATACACACACACGTCTGCAACTATCTCTGTATCTCACCTTCTGACCTGTGTTAAGGTAAAAGTGAGATCCTTCTTACATCTCCGATCCTAGTGCAACATCACATGGTTAAATCCAGACTTTCCACCTTGCTTGTCTGTTACGTTCCATCCAACAGTGAGAAGCCTGGCTCCACCGATGCCATACAGCTACTAATTGTTCAATTCCACATTCACAGTAGTAACTGAATGCTTAGCCTGGTTCCTGATGGAAATACCATTATCCACCAGGCTCTAGTGCTTACGTGCAGTGGCTTAGAACTTACCCTTCAGACTCCACTCATTTCCAAAGTCACTTAGGTCAAAACCTACTTTCCCACCGTCTTCAGACATGTTAATTCATAGGTTCACTATGATATTAGGTATCATCTATATAGTGAGCATCGTTCCATCTTTGAGTCTCTGACTTATAAATGAAATTTACATTTATATTCAATAAGGTTCACTCCTTCTGCTATTACTGTATATATTTTGGCAAGTCCATAGTGCAATGTTTCCACCACTGCAATTTCATAGACAAGAATTTCACTGTCCTTAAATATTGCCCATGTTTCACATATCAAACTTCTCCCCAATTCCTGCTAAATGCTCATCCGCTTGCATTATATATAGACTGAAGTTTTCCCAAATGTGAAATGGTGAAATTGAACGTTTTCAGACCGAATTTTTAAATAGCAATATGCATTTAGGATTCTCTCAGGTCCTTTCATGGTATAATAGTTAATTATTTAAATTGCTGAATACAATTCCACAGCATGAATACATCGTGAATACACGCATTGTTTATCTGCTAATTTATGGAAGAACATATTTGTGGCTTCCATTTTTTCTCAGTTGTAAATGAAGAGACCACAATAATTCACGGGCAGTTGATGATGGAGATATAAGTTTCAAGCCAGTTATGTTAATATTACGAGCATGACATCTGGGGTCTTACATTAAGCTCTGTCTAGGTGTGTCAGTGACTGCGCAGAGGAAGGACTCTGATGCAGAGACCACTCAGCTGTCCCAGGCATCGTGCTGAAAGGAAGTCAGAGCCCAAGCAATGTCCACACAAGGTGGACCCAAGGCCCAGTCCTCAGACCCGGCTCAGGCCCCAGCCTACAATCAGGGTCACCCTCCCTCACACATGAGTGTGCATCACAGGAGCAGGTCCTGCAGCTGAACTTGAGCCTCTCACAGCGACCCTGCATGGGGCAGGGTGGGCTTCCCTTCCAGGCCCTCCCTAAGCAGAGACGGTGAACAAAGTAAAGAGCTGCTGTCAGTGGAAACTGTCAAGGGTTGTGGCAGGGTTTTGTGCGTCAGTCAGCACCTGGAACGTGATTATTCATTTCCGCGTGCGATCCTATTTCATATGTGGTAAGTATATAGCACAGTGGGAATGGATGAGGGGACAAAGGTCACACTGTGAACGGAGATGCTATGAAACAGTGCAGATCCAAGTCCAGGGCCAAGGTCCTCCTCCCCAGGACGCAGGAGGACCTAAGAGCTCAGGCAGGAATCCTGCGCTGTCCCAGGTAGGAAGACACACCTGTGTGGATAGAGAGGTAACACCACCTGACTCACACTTTAGCAGGACCACGCTGACCCTGGCGACATAGTTAGACGTTGGGACACTATTACACCCTAACAACGCTCGACCTCAAGGCATCCATTTCTAGTTTAAGCTTGTAGTAGATTTTATTCCATTCAGCAGCCTATGTCAGGATTAACATTCTTATTCTTTGTTATTCTGTGAGGACTTGTCTCTCTCCAAGATTTAAATTTGTTGCTGTCTTCGTTCTATAATTATCTGACATATTGGTGAGATTTTGATAATGTGCAACTTGCCGCATTTTGAGACTGTTTTAAGAACAGTAAATAAGAAGCATTTTCTCAGCTTCTCATCTCTCTGCATCTCCAAGACGAGTATCAGCTTTATTGTAACACCCAGAAACTGGAGACAGTTCCAATATCACACATCAGCTAATAAATAAGCCAATCATGCTATGATCATTCTTTAAATGCAACCTGTTATTAAAACCAAGGATTCCTGATACACACAATAACATGATAGTATTCACAACTATTTGTGCTGAGTAAAATAAGCCATAACAATAAAAATACATATAATATGATCCCACTTTTATAAATTCTAGATAATGGGAAGTAACCTGCAGTAACACGGAAGATGAACGGTGTTGTGGGGACAGGACGGAAGATAAGAAGGGACAGGAAGGAGGAAACCCAGAAACTACTGAAAATGATGAGAGGAAGTGATTTGTTCTCTCCTGATAATGCTGATGCCTCCGTCAGCACTTATCAGAGTGTTCATTCTGAGTGTGTGCGCTTTATTATATGTCAAGAACCTCCTTAAAGTAATTACAAATAAAGAAATGCATGACTTGGGAGGGAAGGAGTGAAGGGAAGATACTGAAACATAAGAGACTCCTGAAAATACTTGTCATCAACCCTGACCCCCTCCATACATGTTAGGTAAACACGAGAAGAGAGCAAAGTCATCATGACCTCATTACAGGAGGGGGATCTGCAAACCTCACCCGGCAGCTCCAACTCTGTCCTCTAGTAGGTTCCAGGGAGCAGCCTGGCGCAGAGCTCAGGTGCAGATGCTGGGTCTCACGGTCACCCCATGTTTCTCCTTGGACACTACAGACACCCTGCATCCCTCTGGGTGCAGTTTACACCTCTAATATGAGGGTAACAATGACAGCTACATCACGGGATGTGTGTGCATATGTAAAATGACATATGGGTCCTAAGTGTTTACTCTGGAAAACTCACACAAAGAAAGTTATATTTCGCAAATGTTATCAACACCACAAAATCCAAGAATCTCACACCTGCTCTGAGACCCTGCCCTTC